CTAGAGGAAGAATTGTTATTAAAAAGTTAGCGATACCTGATTCAGAAGCTAGTGTTGATGTGTGTGTGGGAATGTATAAGTGTGTATTCCAAGCGCTTATTTCCATTAAAAACTTGATGTGGGAAAGGTACCAACTTTGGGCCTGTTTACCTTTGACTTGTTCTGAGTTTCCTGAGGTCCCCGGTTAAAATACACTTGAAGACCAGGGCTGAAAGAGATGGTAGAGTAACACCTTTTTTTTTCCCCCCAGTAACACAGTGTGATTCTATATACTGACTCTGGCTTGGCATTCTGATTTCTTATTTTGTATGATTTGCTCTTTGTATATCTCTATGCACTATTCTTTTGTCTTTATTCAAATCTTGCATGCAGACACTTATTTTGGCATTTATTCTCTAGCTACATACTAAGTGCTGTGCGCTCAAAGAGTGCAATATTCCGGAGAACTCTGAGTAACGTTTGGAATTTAGCTTGCCTGTCCTGAATATTCATTTTAATATTTTACCAGTCAACTTCAAAATTTTACCAATAAAAATGCACTGTTGTTCAAAAGGTTATATTTCTTGGTTATATCACTGGGGTGTCTACTGCCCTCTTTTCCAGCTTTGGAAACTTTAGTGTGGTCCGTTCAGCCCTGCAGCCCACCACTAGCATGACAGCCCACCACTGCTGCCCACTAGGCCTCCCGCAGGGAACTGGAGGAGAAAGCTTTAAGGGATGATGGAAGGAGGGATGGAGCATGTAGATAGAGCTGGTCCCTGCTCTCACTCAACAGCCAGAGGGAGGGGCCAGTGACCTAGCCTGTGTGTCCTTTCCATTCTTGTGAAGACTGAATACTCAGCTAACAGTGTCCTGGTCAAGCACATCTCTTGAGCACTCTCCAAGTGTCCCTACTAACGACTTTTCTGTTGGCCTCCTGGCCTCATGGGATATTTGAGAATTCTTTAGGGTCAAGAATAAAGTGAAAGGCCTTTGGATCCCATGCTCGTCCTCACAATACCATTAGGTTTTTTCTCTAACTATTCTCTTTATTTTAAATTTTGTTGCCTTTATTTTTTCCATAATCATCTTCAATAGCCCATAAGAAATGCCTAATAACCTATCAGGCTTAGAGCCCAAGCAGCAATAAAAATTGGTTTATCTTCTCCTGGAGGGTAAGTAGGATTCAAGTTTTAGGTGATGCTAGATCTTGAGAGATATTTTCATTGTGGATGGGTAATACCCATATTTGAGGATTAGTCACCTGGCTTCTTACATTAGCATTAACAATAACAACAACAGCCAAAAGGAAAAAAAAAAAGAACCAAAACACAAAAGCAAGCTAGATTTCATTTAAGAAAATAGGATGAGTATCCTAAACTCTGTAGCATTCTAATGAAGGATACACAGAACAATGGAAATTTATCTGAATAGTCAGTACAATACAAAATAAATTACTAAAATAAGTAAATTATAACAAATAGACATAACTTGCATTTATTGTACATCCACTAATATCAGTCCTATTCAAATACATTATTTATTTGTATTTACTTTCCGTGAATTAGTTATTTTTAGACCCATTTTAGAGAGAAGACCACCAAAGGCTTAGAGATGATAAATAACTTGACCTAATGTCAGACAGTTGTTACCGAGTGCTTTTAAAATGATCATGTTATGATTGGCATTTTTTCTTGCTTGTGTTTGGTGTCCTTTCCATTACACACCCCTTAAAATGTTGTAGTGCTATTCAGCTATGTTATATTAGACTTTTGCTTCACTTTCTAGGTGTCTCTCTTTCTATACATACATATGTCCCTACATACATACATACATATTTAAAAATATGATACGGAATACCATCTTATCATCAGAATGACATCACCAATGAGCCACAGACTGTGGCCCCATATTCCCTTTCTTCCTAGATAGAGTAAGGAGTTCTATTCCACTTCTATTCTCCTAAACAAGGCTTCTTAATCACAGCATTATTGACGTTTTGGTCTTGATAATCCTTTGTTGTGGGAGCTGTCCTGTGCATTGTAGGATGTTTAGCAACATCCCCGGTCTCAATCTACGAGGTGCCATCAGCACCACCCAGCGTCATCATCTAAAATGCCTCCATAATCATTGCCAAATAGCCCTTGGGAAAGAAAATTGTCCCCAACTGAGAAGGACTGCCTTAAGCTCAATATGAAAGTAACTTTATAAAAGTGTAGCCCCTCTGCTCAACTTCTTTCCTGCGCATTAGGGACTTTAAGGAATTAATTATTTAGGCACTGTATTAGAACAAGTCAGATTACCCTGTGGGAACAAACAATGGCTTAATGCAACGAGCCATTGGCTCTCCAGGGCAGCCGGCCTCCCAAGGTAGCTTACCATTCGAAGCTACTTCAGTCTTCCAGTAGCTCAGTATCCACATGTGTTTCCGTGATCACCATAGCAGTGAAAGACAGAGCATAGAGCATTGTGCACGAGGTCTTAAATATGTCCCTCCGGAAGGGACACATGTTACTTCAGCTCACTTTCTATTGACAAAAGTAAGTCAGGAGCTCGAACTTTCAAGCAGAGAAGTAGGTTAGTCCTCCATGCTTGAAAGAGGATAGCTGGGAACACTGGTGAGCATCAAGTGATGTTTGCCATCATCATTTATGAACTGTTGTCTGAATGCTTTATATTGAGTGACATGATTCAAATAAAGTTGAAACAGAGTATTCGTTCTGGAGGAACCCATTAGTTATGGAGAGGATGTACCCGTGTGAAATAATCAGTGAGCAAGACAATATATACTACATGCAATAAGTTATAATGTACACTACGTTTATATATTATTTGGAAAATATTTGCATTTTTATGATGTTTGCATGATATGTCTTTTGGGTTCTGGGGCCCAATTCCAGTATGTGTGGGGTGAGGGGATTTCCCCATACATCCAACTAATTTTCTGGACAACAACTTGGTGTCTTAATTCTGACCCTATCTACCTGGAGATACCCTCAGCTTCTGCAAGTTAAGAGTTCAGTCCTATACGATGCTCCCCTACTCTTCACTTCAGATGCCACATGCAAATGAAGGTTGTTACCCGTGCTTCTGATGGACAGGCTGTAAATCAGAGGTACTATGACCCTTTCCAATTTGGGGTTTGATTAATTTGCTAGAGCAGTTCATAGAACTCAGGAAACATTTTACTAGATTACTGGCTTATTTTAAGAGGGTATAACTCAGGAACAGTCTGATGGCATAGATGCATGGGGCAAGGAACGTGGGAAATGGCATAGAGCTTCTATACCCTCTTGGGGAGCCCCACTCTTCCTGCATTACCAGCCTGGAAGCTCTTGGAATCATGACCGTTTGGGTTTTATGGAAGCTTCATTACATAGGGATGATTGATTAAATCATTGGCCATTGGTGATTGGTTCAACCTTCAGCTCTCTCTCCTCCCAGAAGCCGAGGGGTGGGTGGAAGGTCTGTCCTCTAGTGACAAAGTTGGTTCCCCTGCCAACCAGCCCAGGGTGGGTGCTGTCCAAAGTTACCTCATTAACACAACAAAAGACAGCTTTATGGCTTTTATCACTCAGGAAACTGTGATGAAGACCAAATACATATTTCTTATTATAAATCATAATATCACAGTATGTCTACCTATTGTTTTTTTTCTTAATGTCCAATAAAATTTCATAAATCTTTCTGGTTAAATGTATTCCTAGATGTTTTACAATTTTCTTTCTATTTTTGAATGAGATTCACCTCCACTTCCCCATTTCTACCTGGCTATTGCGAGTAGAGAAGAGCTGTTTGATTTTTGTACATTTTCCCTCATCCAGATGTCTTAATACTTTTAATATTTGCATAGCTTTTGTAATTGAATCTTTTAGGGAGTGCTTCTCAAGGTTTTGCACTGAACGAGCAGCATCGGTATTGCCTGGGGACTTGTTAGAAGTCCAAATTCTTGGACTCTCAACCCAGATCTACTGACTCAGAAACTTTGAGGGTGGGGTCCAGCCTTTGGGATATTAGATAGAGAAACATGCTTGAAAAATATGAACATTTTCTTTTCTTTTTTTCCAGACAGTTCTATTTCTTCTTATAGCATTAGATGAAACATATAGGACAATGTTGGGTACTAATGGATATAAGCTTGACTTTGATTTTGTTTAAAAGAAGATTGTTGTTTGTTAGCTTCTGGTGTTTAAAAGTTTTCCTACTATTTGAAATTTTTTCTTTTTTAAAGATTTTATTTATTTATTTGACAGAGAGAGAGACACAGCGAGAGAGGGAACACAAGCAGGAGGAGTGGGAGCGGGAGAAGCAGGCTTCCTGCTGAGCAGAGAGCCTGATGTGGGGCTCGATCCCAGGACCCCGGGATCATGACCTGAGGCGATGGCAGGTGCTTAACGACTGAGCCACCCAGGCGCCTCTGTACTATTTGAAATTTTTATGTAGAGTTTTAAACAGGAATAATGGCCAATTTTGGCAAATATTTTCCAGAATTTACTGATATAATCATTGAAGTTTTGCCTTTAACTTGTTAGTGTTTCAAATATGTTGATGAGTTTCCTAATGTTGAACCACATATACATTCAAAGAATAAATACAACTTAGTGGGCTTATTTTAATATGTTGCAAGATTTGGCTTGCTAATGCTTATTTCCTAGCATTTTAGTTAATAGAATTATTTCCCTAAAAATGACACCACCCGTGTTTTTTCTTTCAATAGTATTATTATATCACTAATATTATTATACCATCTAATATTGTTACTGCAGCTTTTCCTGTGCCAGATTTAAAGGTTAATTGCATTTTATTACACCGTGTTTTCTGCAGCTCCTCAGAGTTCAAGCCATGACAATAACAATAGTAATAGTTGCCTCTATATATTCTCATTAGAATTCTACCAAATATCTGGCTGGGTAGCTGCCCTCGTCAAGTGGAACATATAACCATCAAACTGAAGCATGAATTGGGGATTACAGCTGTAATGAATTTCCAGACTGAATGGGATATTGTACAGAATTCCTCGGGCTGTAACCGCTACCCAGAACCCATGACACCAGACACCATGATTAAGCTCTATAGGGAAGAAGGCTTGGTCTACATCTGGATGCCGACACCAGATATGAGCACCGAAGGTAAGCATCAGAAGAATCTTTCTGGCTTCTTGTTGAATGTATTTCAGAGAAGCCCTTGCTGTCTGTCTGTCTATCTGCCTACCTACCTACATACCTTTCTGTCTATAATTGAATGACTTAAATATGAATGATAGAAATGGAATCAGTATAAGATTTTAGATTTAATATATTTAACAGATTTTTGCACCTTGGCTAAGATTCTGTTTAACGTGGCTCCTTTGATTTGTTTATTTATTAAACGTATATTTATCGTATATCTAATGTATATGTGGCATTATGCTGGCAGGTAGGAATACAATGGTGAGGAAAAGCAGATGTAGCCCCTGTCCCCATGGAGCTTCTAGTCCTTTTTTTTTTTTTTTCCATGCAGCCCCAAAGGAGCGGAGCTTCTAGTCCTAAGGGAAGACATGCATTCATCAAAGGACCAGAAATAGAAATTTACAACTATGATGACATTTTTGTTAGGAAGATACTGCTATGAGAGCATGCACAGGCAGATCAGATGTAGGAAGAGGGTCAAGGAAGGTTTGTTTGGGTATGTTTGAGCTTAAGTCCGAAGGTTAGAGGGGGTGAGGTGGGAGAGAGGCTCCCAGCAAGAGGGCTGCCAACTTGGGAAGTCTCTGGTGCAGGAGAATGTAGAGTGTCACCTAAAAGTTGGCGCTGTGGATAATGGATGGGAGATGGGCCCAGAGTGGATCTGGGGACCCCAGTTAGGGGGTTACTGCGATAGTTGGAGCGGGAGATCGTGAGAGATGACGCAGCTGGGGGCTGTGTGGCAATCGCAAGGCTGCAGTTCCAGCGCGAGTACCGGCCGAGCATGTCTCTGTGAAGGAGCTTTATGACATGCGTGCTACTGGGGCAACGAGAGACAAATAAGGCATAGTTTTGACCTCCTCGCAAGAGGCGGTAAGAGAAGTTCAAAACTTATTACAATACAGAGAAGAACGTGATGTGAGGAAGGAGTCAAGTGCTGCTGGTGGGTTATGGGGTGCTGGTGGGGGGAGCACAGGGAGGCTGTGTCCGTCTCATGGCATTGGAGGTGGGCCTGGTTTTGACAGGTCAATGGGGAGGAAGGAAGGGCATGCCAGATGGAAGAAACAGCATAGATCAAGGCCCAAGGCATGGGGTTTTACAGGAATGCTCTGTGTTTCAGCTTGGTGGTCCAGTAGAGTGCTTGCGGGGCAAGGAATGGAAGGGCTAGAACCGTTACGCTACTTGTATCAACCAGATGTCAGCAGGGGGCAGCAGAGAGCTGTGGGAATGGCTCAGGCTCAGGGAGTTTGGTGAACTGCTGTTCTGGGTTTGGAAAGAAGGAAGGCAGTTGTGCCTAGTCAGAAACGTCTCTACCATCAGTCCTCTTCCTCCCAAAGTACATAATGTATCAGACACTCTCTTCAGCGATTTCATACCTTACCTCATTTAATTCTGACAACGCTCCAGGCAGATGCAATCTTGTCCATCTTGCAGAGGAAGAGACAGGTACAAAAATGTGAAGTAATGTGGTCAGGGTCGTCGGAAAAGAGACACAGCCTGGATTTAAGCACAGGCAGTCAGACTCAGAACATTGCTGCAGACACCTCTCCCTGCACGCTCCCCCGGGCTCTCCGTGCACATTCTACAGACCACCGCACTTGTAGTCCCTCGTAGTCATGATCACCTGGAGTTAGACAAAGTCATGAGTGGCCAGGGAGGTAGCTGGTCTCCGCAGAGTCAACAGTCCAAGATGCAGGTGGGCACAGAAGATCTCAAGGATCCTAGAGAGACTGCACGTCGGCCACCTTGACTCTTTATGAATCTCAGGTGGTTCCCAGGCTGGACTGAACCCTCACTGGGGAGGAGGTATAATTTTTATTCATGAAGGAAGAGATAGTTTGCTTATTCCTGTTGGTAACGCTGATCCAAAGAAACTTGATGTAGCCATAAGAGCTCTGCCCGTTTCCAAGGGGAAAAAAATCACTTTACTTGCATGGAAGATCATTGGTTGAACCTAGGCCCACTGTAGTTGTGTTAAAGTCTTTTTGGGGTCTCATCACAGCCACAACCGTGGAGCACCTTCCACACTGAGGCAGTCTGGCAACCTCCAGGACAGCAGAAGGAAAGTTCCCGGGTAGCTGTGTGATATCGAGCAGGCTAGTTCCTGCATTTGGAAGATGGGGTAATCATTTCTGCCCTACAGGATCAAAACAATAGAGTAAGATGACTGATAGGAAAGTGCTTTGTTTTTCTGGTTTCAAAACAGACAAGACTGTTAGGTTCATGTGCCTGTAGCTTCCAAAGAGCATTCTGATTTTTGCTTTCTTGCTTCTGATTTTATAGCATTGTTACCCGGTAGGGTATAATGTGAGCCAGAGCTCAGCGCAGCTGACCTGCTATGGCATGCATCCCTCTCCATCCCTGTCCCGATAACCTCAGGGCCCTGATGACCAATAGGCATTTGCTCGATAGCTTGGGATATGCAGAAGCCTGAGGGAAAACTCCATCCCCAAAGGCACACCGTAGTGGTGTTAAAACCTTTTTGGGGGTCCCAGGGTCACCAGGTCCCATCCCGGTCACAACAGTGGAGCACCTTCCACACTGAGGCAGTCTGGCAACCTCCAGGACAGCAGAAGGAAAGCTCCCACCTGCAAAAGGCCAAACGCTAAGACTAAATGAAGGCTTCCTTTGGTTCAGCATGACCGGGGGAGTAATCAAAGGGTTAATGACCATTCCTGAGTCGCAGGGGAAGTTCTGACCAATAGATTAATCTGTGTGGCTGACAATATTAGCACAATGAACATATAGATTACTTCAGCTGACTATTTTTAGAATGCTAGAGAAAAACCCATCTGGAAGTGTTTTGAGCTGTAGCATAATGCTGTCAGATGAAGTCTGAGAGAGAAGACAGTTTGTTAGGCCTGACTGTCACCACCAGTTGTCACAGACCTGTTACAATCCATTGTGCTATCGATCCTTACTCTTGTACATTTTGTCACATGCAGAGGAGTTAGTTAGGTTTTTTCTTTCCTTTTTTTTTTTTTTTTAATTTTGGTCTGTACCTTTCACCTGAGACATGAAAATCTCCCAAATCTAGCACTCATCTGAAAAAGACCAAATCTGTTCATTAAAATTCCATTTTCCTTCATAGGAAGTACTCAGATTGTGTTTTGACCTCTGTCAGGGCAGTGCTGGTGATAACAAATGGTCTGCCCTTGCCTCCCAAGTGAGGGCACGTGCTTCCCAGAGTCCTCAGCTACCCCTTTGTTGTCACACTCAGTTCTTCTCTGACTCAACACCGTGTTCAGCTCTGCCATGATGCCGACACTGACCTTGGAGCCACGGCCCGTGGGCTTGAGCCTCGTTGCCACCGCCTAGCTGTGTGATATCGAGTGGGCTAATTCCTGCATTTGGAAAATGGGGTAATCATTTCTGCCTTACAGGATTATAACAATAGAATAAGATGATTGATATGCAAGGGCTTTGAAAATCACAAAGTTGGGACTATATTTTTAGTCCCAAGTTCTTAAGTTTCTACTGAAGGACGTACTAGATGATATGGACCTTATCTATATTACATTGCAAAGGTGAAAAAGGAGATATGCTCAAATAAAATAATAATATATTCAGCCATAAATCTGCCTGGAGTAAAAAAGGAAGGGGTGTGTGTGTGTATGTGCGTGTGTGTGCACACGCACGTATGTGTATGTTGGAAAGGCTGAAAGTCGGTCCAGAAATAATTTCTTTCAAGGTCAACCTTAGGTAAAGGGCATCTTCAGGGCCTTTTCCACTCCTCTCCCTGATTTCAGGTCCTAATGCCACAGGCTGTTCCCAGCATTTCCTTGTCCCTCTTCTCCCAATCTTTGTTTGCTCAATGCTTTCAAGAAGCTTTTAATCATTTCAGAGTTGGATTAGGCTGGAGGAGGTATGGGCCACAAGTTAGATAAGAGGACTCTAGTAGTGTCTCAGATCTAATCAGTATTATTGGATTTTGTTTCGTTTTATTTTTTATTCATGCACTTAATGAATGCTCATTGAGCATCTACTGAGAGCTGAGGCCTGTTTTAAATTCCAAAGTAAGAATCACAGACAGTGAAATGTTTTGTTAGACCTGCACGGGGTTGAAAATTTTCAACCTAGCTGTCAGCAGTTAAAATTTGGAATATTTTATATAGAAATTCTGGATTTCTGTCTTGCCTTTAGGTATTACCATTTTTATGAATGGAAACTTTTTATCTAATTAGATTCTAAATGGAGCTTAAATACATGAAACATAAAAAATTAGGGGCTCTTGTTGACATTGTGCAAGCTCTGATTCTGGGTACCCTCTTCTTATTCCTTGGTGGGTTGTGTATTAGCTCAGGCTCCCTAGAATGGGTTTTCTAGCAGAGGCAGTGGCCCATTGGGCACAGAGAGCCCCTCTAGGGCAGGGCAGAGGGGCTAACCCCCAGGGAAGATGTTGCTCTCACCTGGACTAAGAGCAACAGTGTGACGGGGTAGGTGGGGGGCGGAAACTGACTAAGAACTCATCTTGAGAGCATGGCGGCCAGCAGGTGCCCCTGGCCGGGCAGGTTAGGGAAGGGCATTAGTGTAGTGGTTAAGACCAGAGGCTTTGGAGTTGGGCCGGCTGGGTTTCAGTGGCCATGGAGGAATAACCTTGGGCAGATCTCCTTGCCTCAGTTCCCTTCAGATATAAACTGAGGATAAAAACAGTACCAACCTCATAGTTGTTAAAAGGTGATTGCAAATGAACTATTACCTGCATGGTGCTTAGAACAGCACTTGGCAGGTAGAAAGGACTCAGTAAATGTGAGCTGTCATCAATCAAAGCAGAGTGATTTGTAGTCCCTAGAAATCAAAATAAGCAAGAGCTCCAGTGGCGGCCAGGCTGATCCTTGACCCCGTCCTTGTCCGGCATCCTTTTTATGTTATTTAAGTATTTGTTTGACAGTTCTTAAGGGGGGTGGCCAAGTGATTCTAGGAGAAGACCACTGCGGGGTGAAACCTGTGTTTAAACTGGGAGCCTTCTGGAGCTTCCCAGAGGCAGCTGTCACTTACCTTCCAGGATCGCATGGCTGAGGTCACAGAATTCCAAGCTCACACATACCCCTTTTCAAACTTTTCAACTTCTAAACTGTGTGCATGCCTCTTGAAGAATCTTTTACAGATAAAAAGGAAAGGGAGAGATAGTTCATCATTTGGGCCATTTGATGCAGACCCTTCCTCAGGGAATCTCTGGCCAGAGAGCAGGTAGGGGGGAAGGGATCCTGACGGGTCCATGTGAACCCCGGTTTGGGCAGGTCGGTGACACTGAGGTTGCAGAAGCGGAGCCCCGGGGCCTGGGACTCTGCTTCCAGAAGCTCCTACTGCACATGGCCACTGTGGTCTGTTTGTACACTGGGCATTTAGTGAAACCCCATGTTAAAAATACTTCTCGGAGATAAAAAGTACAGCACAGGGAGTAGAGTCCATAACCTTGTACTAACGTTGTACGGTGGCAGAGGGTAACTACCTTACTGTGCTGAGCAGAGCGTACAGTATAGAATTGTCAGATCACTGTGTTGTACACTTGGCACTAACATTGTATGTCCACTGTATTTCAATAAAACTGAAATTGTTATATTTCAATAAAATTGTAGATTTTTCCTGCTCATGTCCTGGAAATGTACATGGTAGGAGGAGAGGCATCTGTCACAGCGAACTTGGCCAGTGATGCCAGCCATGGCAGGAATAACCTGGCTGCCCAGGTTGATCGGGGGTCATTCCCTTCCTAGCCGGTATTAGTGGGGCTACACCTCTAACACCCCTTCAGCAGAACAACAGCCTTGCACATGGGCAGGCCCCACCCGTGTTGGCAGGATTGCCAACATACTTTGGAAGTTTTGCCTCCTCTGATCTCCCAGCTCAAATGGTGCATCAACTACACAGGACTCTCCCTGGGACAGACAGTGAGATGTCTCTCTGGTACATAGGACCTTCTACACTTCGTTCCATTTCTGGTGATATTTTACTGCCTCTGAAGGAGTGCCATGAGCAACTGACTATGTGGCATGCCCATCTAGCTCTACCCTCAGAGTACCCCGAAACCTAGTGAGGAAGAGCAAATCAATGGTAGTTTATGGCTGAGTTTGGACTCTGAGAAATCAAGCGGCACAGGGGAGCTGGTGGGGCTCCCCTTAGCTGCCCTCAGAGATCAGGCAGGGAACATGAACGTAGGGCGATAGGCAGCAGGGAGAGATGGAGCCCGAGGAATTGCAGTGTGTCCTGACCAAAGGCATTCCAATTAAAAATGTCTCTACTCTGCCGTGTGGGACCTGTAGCTTGAGATGCCTTGGTAAGATGGATGGATAGAGCACTGGCAGCAAAATTAGAATCTTATCTTGGCTTCTATGTAGATTTTCTGCTCCTAAGTCAGAGCAGGGTGAGCCTGAAGCTAAGGTAGACCCACCCCGGATGGAATGGTAACTGAGAGGGCCTTCAAACCATGATGGGGTCTTGTAATGTCTGTCCTTCTAAGGTGCTGATACCTGATTGCCATGTGTTGTGTTAGCCCTTAAGAGGCACTTGGCATTTTAGAAGAGGATATCTAAAGAGGGAAGTCTCAACTTCCATGAGTGGCTCTCTTGACCTCCTGGCTCCATTCCACCATGAAATTCTAGGCCTCAGGATCTGCAGTAAAATCATTTGAGGGGGGAGTTTTCCCCACCTCTCCCGTCATCCAGTGGGATGGCAATGCGAAGCGCCATTGTGCCCCTGTGTGGTCGAGAATACAGATTAGCTAGTGAATGTCAAGTCATGGGCACGTAATCCAGGACTCTCTACAGTTTCCCTCTTTCACCCTCTTTGAAGTAATTTGACCATCATCCACACCCCCCACCAAATCCACTAACTGTCTTTGCTCTGAGAACCTGTGTGCAGAAGAAATTCCAGGCATCTAGGCATTTGATGGCTTTAGGAAGATCTCTGCCTCATGAGACAGGAGTCTGGCAGGGCTGAGCAGAGCATTACATATTGTATCAGGGTATAAATGAGACATTTGATCACCTAATAATCAAAATAGTAGTCATGAGGTAATAATAACCATAATCACAATTGACCAGTAAAGGAGAAATGGAATCATTTCAACACTCACTGTATCATGAAGGAAGAAATAAATGATCGGTTATTGCATGTGTGTCAATTAATGTTCGCCATCCCATTGGCCAAATGAAAATTGGCATATGTTGAGTGAATAAGATTGACTCCTTTAACCAATATGGACTAATTCTGTGTTTTGCATTGATCTTGAAGATCTGTTTGGATTAAAGAAAGTCAGGGTGAAATCCTGTAAATCTCTGCCCAATCTGAGCAAGCCCTTCTGATGGATGTAAAAATCCGTTCTTCTGACCATAGGCAACGGTTAAGTTTTCTTTGAAAGGAAATTTGCCCTGATGCAGAAGTCACTCAAAGCAAAAGCCAGGGAAGGTTCAGAGCTGACCCACTGCCTCTGGAGTGTTCTTTCTACTTTATTATTGTCTTACCTTTTCCGTCAAAACAAAGGAATGGAGCAAGCTCTCCTATCCCTGCCTCTCCTTGCATGGCACTCATCTCACCAGGCACTGAGGAGTTGTCATGAGTGAGATATTGGGGTTTCATTATTCATGTGTCTGTGCTGTGCTTTCTCAATCCCAGGCCGAGTGCAGATGCTGCCCCAGGCCGTCTGTCTCCTGCACGCGCTGCTCGAGAATGGACACACCGTATACGTTCACTGCAACGCCGGGGTCGGCAGGTCCACGGCGGCCGTCTGCGGCTGGCTCCAGTACGTGATGGGCTGGAATCTGAGGAAGGTGCAGTACTTCCTCATGGCCAGAAGGCCAGCTGTGTACATTGACGAAGACGCACTGGCCCGGGCAGAAGAAGACTTTTTTCAGAAATTTGGGAAGGTTCGTTCTTCCATATGTGGTGTGTAGGTGGCCCATCTGCCTCCCCAACCTCTCAATTTCCTTAGGAACCCAGTTTCCTTAGGTGATGTTAGTAGAATGACCTAGAAACAAAGATTCCACCAGAACTGAAAAGACCGGTCACTTGGCTTTGCCCTCAGCCTGCCCCCTTTCGTCTGGGGCTTTCTGTTAATGCTTTGGCTGGGCTGTATTTTCTTTGAAGTATTTTTACAGAGGAAGCTGTGACTGACTGACACGTGAGAAAAAGCCACAAGCAAATTGGACTGTGCAGTGTTCTAGCATCAGACGGAAAAGGAAAGCGTGCATTTGTTGTATGGCGGCTTAACGAGCGCACCTTCTCATGGCATTGTAATGTGACCTGCGGAACAAAAGTTGGGGGATCCGTAGATGTGACCACTTGTGTGTTGATGCATGCACGCACACATGCACAGCTTTTCTGCTCAATTGAACTGAAGTGATACAATGAGAACTGGCCAGTTGCCAAAGAAGGGAATATGGGTAGAAGCATGGACCATGACAGAGGAGGAGCTCCCATGACTGAGAAGTGATGGCTTTCTAGACTTGGTGTTGGCATCCTGCTTCCCCAGTGTTCCAGTTGGTTTCAGGGCATGACCTTCTGTACCCACAACCCTGTGTGACAACCACAGTGGAGTTGTTGTCTCTCCCTTTGGTTTAATTGAGGCTCAACGAGCGTAGACAGCTTGCCCAAGGTCTCACGGCTAGTCAGGGACCAGCTGGTGTTTAAAACCCACACTTATGTGACTCAGTGCTTTCAACACAACTTGTTGATTTTCCAGCACAGTGTAGTGGATTCTGTTTCTCTCTCTCAGAGTAAGGTCAATTTTTTTGCAACAGTTTCTACAGTGAGAAATGGAACAGCCTTCTGATTAGTTGCCAAGGAATTTAGGAAAGTAGCTCTATTTTGTGCAACCTAATTTAAAACATGGTGGGCTGTCTCAACACCCAAGAGGCCTGAGCCATAGCTCACCATACCAGAAGAGCCCCAATCCATAGATAATTGTTGCACAGCTTAGGAGTGGTCCTGTTTCAGCCCTCAGTTTTTTTATTTTTTATTTTTTTTAAAGATTTTATTTATTTGACAGAGAGAGACACAGTGAGAGAGGGAACACAAGCAGGGGGAGTGGGAGAGGGAGAAGCAGGCTTCCCACTGAGCAGGGAGCCCGATGTGGG